TTATTATCATCATCATCATCATCATTATTATTATGAATGTTATCATTATTTCTATCACTGTTGTTGTTGTTATCATTTTTGTCATTGCGATTTTTATTACTATTATTGTTATTATCATCATCATCATTATTATCATTACTGTTATTATTATTATCATCACCATTATCGTTATTATTAGTATGATTCTTATTCTTATTTTTATTTTTGTTGTTTTATTGTTGTTATTATCATTCTTAGTATCATTATTACGGTTGCTATTATTATTATTATCATTTGTATTATTTTTAATATATCATCACTATCACGGTTATCAATATCATTTATTGTTATCATAAACACTATCATTAGCAACACTATCATAATTACCATTATCATTACCATCAGTTTTGTTATTACTATTATCATAATCATTGTTAGTAGTATAATTATCATCAGCATTATTATCATTGTTGTTGTTATTAAAATGGTTTACATAATATTGCTATTATTGTCATTTTAATCATCACTTTTATAATCATTTTATCACCATCAGTATCATCACTCTTATTATTACCCTCATTATCACTATAATTATTACTATTATCATTATTGTTGATATTATCATGATCATTGTTATCCTTGTTAGTAATGATATTATTAATATCATTATTATCATTATTTCATTTTGTTATTATCATTAACATCATCATTATCATTATCGACATCATTGTCATTATTATTAGCAATATCATCATTATTATTAGCATTAACATTATCATTATTATTACTATGAGCATCATTAATGTTAATTCTACTATCAGTGTCATTTATAACATATATATTATCATTATGACTATTATCATTACGACCATATATACATCATTCATCATCATTGTCATTATCAGTACCATCATTAATACTATAATTTTCTTATGACTGTCACTCTTATTGTCAATGCTGTAAATATTGATGATTTGAGTTTCATCTTTTTTTTAAATAATTTTCGTCTTTATCATTAGATTTTTTTCTTCATGATTGTTATTTTACATCAGTATTAGATCATCACTATCATTATAATCTTGAATAGCAATATTTGTTTTGAATTTTAGCCTTATTACCATCGCTATTGTAATTGTTCTTCAATGTCGTTACCATCATCGTTATCATCCTAAACATCGTATTCTCAAAACATTCGTTGTTAGAAGTATTGGCACCATTAGGTTTTTTTTTATCACTTGCGATAAAGATTCCCAGGATGACTGTTGCCATTATCGTCGAAATCGTTGTTTTCCTCTGCGTGCCCCCCCCCCTCCTATTGCCCTGATGGCCCCCTGCCCGCCCCTGGCCTCAGAAGCCTGCAGTGGCCTCCACGGATTCGCTGACTCATCCCCGACCGGCGTTGATTCCCGCCGAAGGACCGACTCCGGGCGTGACCTGACACCGGGGGGAGGGGGGGGGGAGGCCCTCGCTGGTATAAAAGGCACCGGCGCGGATCTCGGGTCAGCCTCGTTCTGGCCTTCCTTCCTCTGGCGACGCATCATGGTACGGCTCGCAGTTTGGCCTCTGTCCGGGCTGGGATGGGTGCGGGTGGGGTATGTGTGTGTGTGACTATGTACACACACACACATGTATATGTGTGTTTGTGTAAATGTATGTATGTATATACAGGTGTGTATGCATGTATATGCATTAAGATAACAACATTGATACCTGCGGATACTAAGGTAAATTGATTATGTAGTATCATCCACTGACCTCATCACCGACTGCTCTACATATACCTTTGCTTTCACGTTTTCCAGGCAGCGTATCTCCTGACGGTTCTCTTCCTCGGCTCCGCCTGGGCCGAGGTGCTCCCCCGCAACGGGTATGTCCCCCCCTCCCTGTCTGGAGGGTTTTCAGGGACTAACGGTCCGAGTTCCTTCGACGGTCCTTCCGCGGAACACACTCCGAGCCTCCCTGGCCGCCGCGGAGGCTCCTTCAACGGCGCTGTGGGCGGAGCCTTCCACGGAGGCTCTTCGTCGGGCTTCGGAAACGGTTCTGGAGGGTCCTTCGGCTCTGCAGTTGGTTCAAGCGGTTCCTTCGGCTCTGCAGGTGGTTCAAGCGGTTCCTTCGGCTCTGTGGGTGGTTCCTTTGGGTCTGCGGGTGGTTCAGGTAGTTCCTTCGGGTCTGCGGGCGGTTCAAGCGGTTCCTTCGGGTCTGTGGGAGGTTCAGGCAGTTCCTTCGGCTCTGCGGGTGGTTCAGGCAGTTCCTTCGGGTCTGCGGGCCGTTCAAGCGGTTCCTTCGGGTCTGCGGGCGGTTCAGGCGGTTCCTTCGGTTCCGGCGAAACCTCATACAGAGGAGGCACTTCTGGGTCCGGGGGCTCCTTCGGCGGCGCATCTTCGGCCTTCCCGTCCGGCTCCTCGGGCTTCTCCGGGGGACCCAAGGGCTCTGGCAGCGGCGTCCAAAGAGACTCACTGGGCTTCACCTCTAGTGGATTCGGGGGCTCTCCGGACCTCTCCTTCGGCGCGCAGGGAGCCTC